CACTTTCTTAAAATCACCAACAGTAATTTCTAACATTTGGTGCCTTTACTACCTTTCACTCTCACATTTCAAAACAGCCCAAAGGCTCTTTCATAAAGTAAAGCAGAAAGGAGGAATATTTTCAATTTTAGAAGCTGAACATAGAGCCTGTATTCATTGCACAGAGGTAAATCAGTGAGGCGACATCACAAACTCTGTAATGAAACTCAACAATTAACCTCTCCGTGTGGGACACAAACAATGAGTTAAACCTTGGTACTCTAAAGAAAAACTCCAGGGATTCCACAAAGCAGACAGAATGTAACCCAAGGACATCATCAAGAAGAAAACTGACTAGACTGCCAAATGAATTAAAAAAGACATCCTCCACCACTCTGAGTAGGAGGTTAGCAATGTCTCTGCCTACAACTGGGAGCTCACTACCAACTTTAATTCAGAAAAATACTTCAACCTTTCATCAGCAAACAGAGAGAGTTACTGGGTTACACACTTCACTGACAGCCATGAATTGTTCAGGATCATTCAATATGACAAAGTGCTGAGTGGTTGGATCAGAGCTTTATTTAGGACGAAGCTTACCTGAATGAGCCAGGTGTGTCAACTTAAAGATGCCATCACCTGTTGAAATATGGGAAACGGCAAAAAAAATCACATGAAGAGTATGTGTACACAATAACCTCCTGACAGTCAGCTATCCTAATCACCAACATTTAGCCTAATTGATTGTACCAAGGTAAGCTGCTCTGTACCCTGCTTTGTTTATCTGTTTAAATTGCGTTTGTTGGTGACAGAATTTGAAACAGAGGAGACTCATTCCAATTGGACGTTGTCATCTTGGATTCCGTGTAACAAACGCAGTTGACAGTAAATCTGATGGCCTTATGATTGAGTCACTTATCAGTAGCTGGCACTAGCAGTGCTGCATCTTCTAAAAGTCTAACATCAAGCAAGTAATAGCTTTATGTAAGTGTTGTGGAATCATTGTTTTCTATGCATTTTCCAAAGGTCAACTCATGCCTTGCTTAAGAGCAATGATCTCAGAAATGATAGGGACTGGGGACCACAGAGATTTCCTTGCCCTTGACTCCCGACAGAACATAGATTGGTTCTGCAAACAGGAGGCCTAATACTGTTTCACAGATATAGTAAATAAATGACAGGACCAATAGTTTTGTCATTTTGTTTCGAAATGTGCTTACTGTATGAAAGTTGAGATAAACTTGTCTCCTAACAACACTTCGTCAAATTCCAGCACTGGAGAGATTGAAGAAGTGGAGAAACAGGCCCACATTTCATCTCAGTCATCATCACAAACTGGTGGGCAATGGAACTAGAGCCACATGGAGCGAATCATCGTCAAAGTGACAGAAGAACAGAAAATAGGCCATGTGCGGTCCCAGACTGTTCAGAACTCCACAGAGTAAGGAGTCACTCATTATAGTTGTGAATAGCACACTGCTGGCTGAAAGGTCAGTTTAAGCTGATGTTGGTGAATTAATTTTCTGAACGCTTAGAAAAGGGTAAAGGCTTTGAGCCAATTTGATACAGCAAATCAGCGTCAGGGTTTAGAGGGGGGCACTGAATAAACATGCCAGAAGTTCTACGATTGCCCAATACAATGGCTTGTCTTTGCATAGAGTTATTGCTGAAGGTACAGAATTTGTGCTGCAGGAACCAGCTCCTCACTACATAAATCTACTATCCCCTAATTTCCAGTTTGTTGTCATCAGCTTTATTAATGTCCTCTGCACCTTCCGGTTCTTTAATCGGTTCCTGTTGAATAATTCCTCCACCTGTCCCACAAGCACTTTTGCTTTTTTCTGAAGGGTTGACTTTTGCTGGTTGCATTTCTGTTTGTATCTGGAACTTTTGACACCAGTGACCATTTTCCCTGTTTAATCCTCATCATTATGGCCATTATTGAGCTCAATGCTACCCAGGCCCTAAGTCGGCACAAACATTTTAAGTGATACAGTCATTGAGCTTCTTTTTGTAAGCAGGAAAGTCAATCCATTTCCTTCCAGAGAGTCTCCTAACTATATTTAATTTCTGCCTGAACGACAGCAATTTTATCAGTATGAGATGGAGTTACTTCAGTAAGGTGGTTTTTGTGATTTTCCATTGGGGCCTTACTGAATAGTCATCAGGACTGGGTACCCTGGCTAATTTCCTATCGCTTGGTGCAGTGACAATGAGGTTAGTGGTTCTGCTCCTACTGCCAAACTATGAACAGTAAGGGCTAGAGACTGAAGTGCAGATCTACGCTATGCTCCTCACTGTTCAATGCAGTTACTAAAATGTTGGTGGTGTTCCTTGTTTCAAACACTAATTTTCTCTGGTTTTCCCTCTCATTCATTGTGTTCCTTTTGTCATGTTTTTATGCCCCTCCTCTCTCAACCATTTCCATTTTGTTTTGTGTGTTCTATGTTAGTTCTACACTCTGTCATCCTTTCCCTGTAGAAGTTGTTGCACTTCCTTAGTTACACTGGATTCCTGATAGAATCACAGTTTTTGTTTCTTCATGCAGTCTATGCCTCTCATGTTTTCCCCTCTCTGTAATATTTTAAGTCTATCAGACTTTAATCTCTCTCCATTCCCTCACCCAGCACCAGCTGTAACTGAATTGGAAGCATTCTAGTGCTCATTTGTGTCTTCCTAGAAATCTTGATTAGAAGGCAAGCTATTTAATTTCAGGAACCTGAACTGCAGCTTGCCTCAAACAGAAGAGATGAAAGTATCCTCTCTCTCTGTGTGACGACGGTTGAGTCTCACAGTCTGGGTTCCAGTAAAACCACTGATCGTTAAAAGGTGAAGACAATGGAACTGAAGATATTAAAAATAAATAGGTGTATGGCTAGCTCCCTCTGATGGAGGCATGTGTAATTACATATCAGTAAAATTACAGAGATAGTAGGAACTGCAGATGCCGGAGAATCTGAGATAACAAGGTGTAGAGCTGGATGAACACAGCAGGCCAGGCAGCATCAGAGGAGCAGGAAGGCTGACGTTTCGGGCCTAGACCCTTCTTCAGAAAGGCTGACGTTTCGGGCCTAGACCCTTCTTCAGAAAAAGTTCACTGCCTGACAGGTTACCTTGTATAGTTCCTAAATGACAGCAATAGCTTGCCTCAACTGGTACAGTGGTTGGAGTCAGAAGTTCCATGCCAGGATTTGAACAAAAAATGTACACTGACACTCCCTTGCTGTACTAGGAAAGTGCTGCACTGTTACTCTGATGACCCTCATTTGAGCTGTTACACTGGAGTTCTAAAGTGGTCAAAAAGATTCCAGGCACTATTTGGAGGATGCTCCCACAGTAGCCTGGACAACATTTCTCCATTAACTGACGTCAAACTACCAAATATAGAATCATAGAATCCCTACAGTGTGGGAGCAGGCCATTCAGCCCATTGAGCCCATGTTGACCCTCTGAAAAGCATCCCACCCAGACGCATTTCCCCCTACCCTATCCCTGTAACCCTGCATTTCCCATGGCCAAACCACCTAGCCTTCACATCCCTCGACACTACGGGGCAATTTAGCACGGCCAATCCACCCAAGCTGGACACTTTTGGACTGGGGTTACCAGGTTATTTATGACTGTGGTAAATACAGAAAGTGCTGAAAAAATTCAGCAGTTTGGTAGCATCTATGGAGAGAGGAATAGAGTTAATGTTTTGAGTCCAATATGACTCTTTTTCAGAACTGCAGTTTCGAAGGAGTGTCACACTGGACTCGAAATGTTAACTGTTTCTCCCTCCACAGATGCTGCCAGACGTTCTGAGTTTCTCCAGCAATTCTTGTTTTTATTTTAGATTGGCAGCACCTGCAGAATTTTATTTTTATTGATGCCTGTGGGACATCTTGCTGAGCAGCAACTATATTTTCCAAGGCAATAGCCAGTGTATTTCAAAATAAAAATTCTTGTGAAATGCTCTGAAACAAGCTTGAGACACCTATTAAGTTATTGTGCAACTTATGTGGACACAGTACAAACAGCCAGAATGTTGGCAATTACCCAATATACGAGCAATTTGTTCCATTTGCACAGCAAGTGCCAACTGATTCTGGTAAAAGGAGAGCAATTCAGAAAAGAACTTTAAATAGAATAATTTTACCTAAGTTCACTGACATTGGTTTGGATCATCACTCTGAGTGAGAATGAGGATTTCTGATGTTACTGCAAATGATGTCTGCATCATTTGATGAGTCTGGGAAGTAATGCAACGTTTCACCTAGCTATTTCCTTACTGTCACCTTGTCCTTATCCAAGAACTATCCAGAACTGTTGTTCTGTTGAAATTTCGGTAGATATTTTGAAGGAAAAGACAGATGTATTCAAGATCATTACTTGGAAACCACACAATATGATGATATCCCTCTCTATCTGAAATGCTTTATCTACTGTTTTAACAGGAGTGTTAATTGATTATAAAATGAATGGATTCACACCCCAATTAACATAAAGGCTACATTTTCTAGATAGCCCCCCAACGTAGTGATCAGGTGCAGTAACACCACTTGAATTTGGGGATCCTTTTGTTCTGATTTCCCTTAGCTAACATTTCATCCTTTCATTTTTGTCCTGCAGAATGAATTATCCGTTTGAAGTTAGTCTTTCTCCAAAACCCTTGGCATCTCCAACAGTTCATTGATATCGGAGTCCTTTTCTAACATTCTTGTTCTGAGCTTATTGGAGTTGCTCCAAGTTTGCTGAGATTCCAATCATTTTCCATGTCTAATCCACCTCCTCTGTTTTTAACTCTCTGCATTGTGGTTATGTGATACTCTTGCTCTCCTTCCCATTGTAAAGTAGCAGTAGAGCTATTTCCCTTGCAGGCACAAAACCACCCCCAGACCCAATCAAGCTCCCTTTAGAGACTTTGGCCAGAAATTCATTCCATGTGCAGGAGAACAGGGAGCAATGAATTTACAATCTTCTCACATCCTCTCCAAAATAGAGACAGAGCTAGAAAAACAAAGAGTCACAGCACAGGCTTCATAAATCAACCGTTTTATTACTGAGAGTTTCTTGTTTAAGATTAATTCTGTTAATAACTCCTCCAAAGTTCATTCAGTCATGATCAGATGTACCTGACACAGTGTTCCTAACATGTCCCAGGAAAATGAACGCACGTAGCTGGACAGATTGCCATGCTCCCATTTTTGCCATCAAGTTAAGTCCAGTTAAGAAATTCTGAAGCAATGATTGTCATTTTTTTGAGGCGGGATGGTGGTAGCTACTTATGGGCTGTCGTGGAATAAGGGATTTGGGACCATAGGAGAGAGTGTAGATAGTGTCATACAATGCTGGCTGGTTCTCTTCTTTTCTCTTCAATCTAGCTAACTTCTCCTCCAAAAGGCCAAAATTTGTGGGAGGAGCTGAAAGGAAATAGATACAAAAGACATCCCTGAGTTCCAGCTACAGAAGCTTATGTTTACAGACGTCTTGTGGTAAAATATCCCATTGTGCATGGTAGGAATGGTCTCCAATTAAAATTGGTGCCAAGCTACATAATATGGATAGATGGCCAGCAGCTTGATCAAAGAGTTAAGTTTCAAGGAGCACCTTAATGCAGGGAAGTGAGGTCAAGAAGGGCGGGCGGCTTGGGAGGGATTGAAGATCTTAAGACCTTGGCAACAGCTTTATGGCTGGCCATAGAAGAATGGAGGAAACTTAGGATGTGAATGATCACAGATCAGATAGTCCCAGGTTTCATCCCTGTTCAGTGCTGAACTAACTGATCTCAGCTGCAATAGCAAAGTGGGGCCTTAGCAACACCAACATGGGAACGGGAAAACTGCTCTGGATTTTTTTTAGCATTATCTGCCAGAAAACTCAATCATGAATGGCATGTGCAGCAGGACTGGTCTTGAAAACCTCCTATCATCTTCAGCCTTCATTACCACCCTGGAGAAATAAGCTGCCAAGACTCCTTATTGGTGAATGACCATCCGAGCAAAGGACAAGAGAGTTGCTAACACTCAGCAAACTATACCCTGCTAATAGTCAGTCTCTTCACAGGAGGAAGAAGATATAGAAAGGGGAGAGAATTAGCATAAACATGCTCTGCAATACATACCTATTAGTGGAACGTCTATACGTTCTGGGACCCAACCTGGCAGCCTTGCATTCCATTTACGAAGTGGAGGCAAACATGGGTTTGGACGTCGATTAATATGTTCATCGTAGTGCGTAACATAGTACCAGGAGCGTGGAATGTTGTGATGAGGGAATAATACTGTAATAGGTACACCCTAAAAAAATAAGGCAACTTATTTAGAGTTTCTTCTTGGTCAAGTACTGTCTGAGGAAGCATTAATCATAAGGGCTGATATGGTGGCTCAGTGGTTAGCACTGCTGCCCACAGGGACCCAGGTTCGATTCCACCCTCGGGCGACTGTCTGTGTGGAGTTTGCACATTCTCCCTGTGTCTGTGTGGGTTTCTTCCAGGTGCTCTATCTCCTCCCACAGTCCAAAGATGTGCAGATTAGGTGGATTGGCCATGCTAAATTGCCCCATAGTGTCCAGGGATGTATAGACTAGGTGGATTAGCCATGGGAAATACAGGAAAGGGGTAGGGCGTGGGTCTGAGTGGGATGTTCTTCAGAGGGTCAGTGTGGACTTGATGGGCTGAATGGTCTGCTTCCACACTGTAGGGATTCTATGATTCAAGGACTCCTGGTTTACAATAAATCAAAGTCTGTCTTTCTTGCATAAGAGGGACACATACCAAGAGTCCCATTGCTTTATTTTTGGCTAAATGTCTGTATTCCCCAGCCACTAAGGAGATTACGCCAGTCCATAGCAATTTTCCCCAAAATTGTTTCATTACCTGTGCAGAGCAGTTCATAACCAGCAAATCACCTTTCATCAGTTCAGTGCTGCTCAGACAGTGGGAGGTAGCGTTCTGGTGAAACCAGATCTAGTTCATTTCTCAGCAAGGTACCTGGAGGAGCTGTGTTGAGCACTACCTCAAGCTGAATCTCTTTCAGAGACTGTTCAGCTCACTGAAGGCTTGAAAATTCCTACCTTGCAAATGGATTGACTCAAATGGGAAATGAGATGAGAATAGATAGGTATTTGATGACTGACACGGATACAATGGGCCAATGGGCCTCTTTCCAGGCTGTAATACTCCGTGAGTCTATGACCAGATTGGCTAATTGCAACTTTGGTGCGGTGATTACTATTGTAATGGGAAAATCATCAACTTCTTGTTATTAAACTGATAAATCACTGCACAATGACATATGTTTATGGAGGTGAATTTGAAGCATATGAAAATAACATGAGGGGTTGGCAATTTTTGCTGTTGAAATAGAGCACCAAGGAGATGTTCACTCCCAATGAGCACTAAGATTGCATCTTAGGATACAGGAGGGAAACTGCAAACGGAGGGGTGTAATGGGCCCACAACTGCACAGCAATATTCTACAAGACAGCCCATCAGATCACTTTATTTGTGGCTAAGATAAAACAGCAAGCGTTCCTGATTCATGTCACTTTCCAGCCACCCTTGAGGTTAAGTGTGGGTGGTATCCCTTATCCAAATAGACTCACTGATTGGACTCAGATATTTGGAGCAAGAACCAGAGATCAGCTGGTGTCCACTGAAACAGACTCCTATACACATTTCCTCCCCACCAGCACTATGACATGTACTCAAAACCATTTTGTGACCTGTCTGATAACCAGGATTCAGGAAGGACTTCGTCCCAATGCCATTCAATATTCCTAGTCCGAAAAGAGCCACCTTCACCACCTCCCACCCGCCCCCACATCACACCCCACCCCCACCCACCACAACTTCATCTCACCTGATGTTTTTTCTGGATCAGAACTTTCTCTCTGATGTCTGGCATGACGTATGGGTAGTGCTTGTAGTCAGTTCGGTATGTGGTGGTCCCGAAGCAAGTCCCCTTGATGAACTGAATGAACAAAAAGAAGGAAATGCTAGCATTTTACGTAGGCATTGAAAGCAGCCTGCTTGAGTGATACTCCATCAACCACCTTAACCATCCAGTCACTGCACCACCAACACATCACAACGGCAATGTGTACCATCTACAAGATGCACCGCAGTGACTTGGCAAGTCTCCTTCAACAACATCTCCCAAACCCCCAACCTCAACCACCTAGAAGGACCAGGGCAGGAGCCACATTGTAGTACTGCCACCTTCGAGTTATCCTCTAAACCACACACTACTGGGGTGGCACAGTGGCTCAGTGGTTAACGCTGCTGCCCCATAGTGCCAGGGACCCAGGTTCGATTCCAGACTCGGTGACTAACTGTGCAGAGTCTGCATATTTGCCCTGTGTCTGTGGGGGTTTCCTCCCACAGTCCAAAGATGTGCAGGTTAGGTGGATTGGCCATGCTAAATTGCCTGAGGTGTCCAGGGACATCTAGGCTAGGTGGGTTAGCCATGGGAAGTGCAGGGATAGGATAGCAGGATGGGATCTGAGTGGGAGGCTCTTTGGACAGTTGGTGTGCCATCAATGGGCCGAATGGCCTGCTTCCACACTGTAGGGATTCAGTGATCCTGACATGGCAATACGTTGCTGCGCCTTCACTGGGTCAAAATTCTGGAACTTCCTCCCTAATAGCATCATTGAAGTACCCACAGTGCAGACGTTTAAGAGGAAGATCCCCATCAGCTTCTCAAGGGCAACTCAACTTGGGGAAATAAATGCCAACCTTTCCAACAATGCCCAACTCCTAAGATTGAATGTCACTTTTTTTTTGAAAAACAAAATCAGAAGTTGCTGGAAAATCTCAGCAAGCCTTGCAGCATCTATGGCAAGAAAGCAGATTAATGTTTCGGGGTCTGGCAACCCTTCTTCGGAACTGACTATAGCGAGGAAAATGTTGGTGCATATGCTTTTTTTTAATGGTCCAGTTCCTCTGGCAGGAGGCAGGAGCACAATAACATTTTGGGCTGTTTTCCCATACCAGCCAGAATGTTCGGGGATGTGCTAGTGAGCTGTGAGGGGTTAAAACCATCTAATGGTCAAGCTTCAGTTACAGTTGTGAGACTCCTGCTGAGTCAATGCTGTATATACAGACTGTACTGTGTTTGGCTCTCAATGAATGATAGTCAGTGCAGTGTGGATTTTTACTGCACAGTCTCAGACCATTCAGCCCAATTTGTCCATTTATACTGCTGTCAAATAAGGGCAGGCTAGTGAAAAATGCCCCCAGCCCATTAGCAAATAAAACAAATTCTCTTCTTTCTTTCTCTGTATTTATCTTGTTTCCCATAAATTTAATTGTGCTATTTGCCATTGTTACTCACTGTTATGATAAGTTTGACGTTCTAACTAGGTAAAGGGTGAAGTCACCAAAGAACAGGGATCAGAAAGACATGACCTCAGCCAGTGTGGGAATTGAACCTGTACTGTTGGCATTACTGACCAACCATCCAGCCAACTAACTGAGCTAACCAATCCCCACAGTACACAGCCACTTTAAATTAAAATGTTGATCCTGATTTCCTTTACGGATTTAACAAACTATCTGATGTTTACAATCCCTGTGTTGGTGTGTCCCTGTGGATCAGGAACTACATCCTGAACTGAAGAGGGGTGCAGAAGAAAGGCAAAAAAAAATTCACAGCTTCTATATCCAGACTAACTGATGTCCTGACACACCCACACATGTACCCGCCACTCACACTCACACATATACACCTCACCAACACTCACACATATACCCCTCACCCACACCCACACATATACCCCTCACCCAC